TAAATATTGTAATAATTGACTAATAGATAATTTTTTAACTATTCTCTAGTCTTTAATATAGGACTAGACCATTCTTATTAGATATAATATACTTGTACATTTAAGGCATATCTTTTAAGAATAATTACTTTTAAACAGCTTATCAGTTTATCTATCTTATAAAAGGTATACTTAAAAATTCTCAATCAAGAGTTATTATAAATATAGAAAGATTAATAATTACTCTGACAATTACAATATATTTAATAATAAGTTTATTAACTATACTGCTTACTATTTTACCTCTAAAAAAAATAATGACAATTACAGATGATTAAATAAGAAAAGCATTTAAAGGAATTTATGAAGTAGTTAAAATACAACTAGATGTTTTAAGATAAATAGAATAAATTATAGTAAAGGTTAATTATTTTTATAATATAAAATATGAAAATTCTGTTAAATAGCTTGCTACCTTTAAAAAAATAACAACTATTAATTGATGAACTAATATTTTAAAAATGAAGACTATAGTTGAAGAATACTTGAAAGAAGCTGCAGTTAATTGGTTTGAAGAAAATGCAGTAAATATAAATAATAATTGAACTACAATCATAAATAATAAAAATAATTTTTTAACATCAAATTTATCAATGAAATCTAAAAAAATTAATAATACTAAAAATTAACATTTCTTTGATACCATTTAAATAAATTAATAAACTCTTATATCAATAAATTTTATAAATTAGTAAAAAGAATAAGCTAATATAAGATTCGCTAATTTTATATATTACAATTTATAATACTCTGAATATATAACATAAAATTATACTCAACTATAATAGTTTTATCAAAACAATTATAAAATCTGATTTAACAAACTAAAAAAATACATTTAACAAACAATAGATTATAATAATTATAATTATAAAACAAATAAAAGTAAGAAATGTGAGATTTATTTAAATACTTAATTGAGATTATATTCTAACAATTCAGTTTTAAAATATGTAAAATCTTAAAAAAAGAAAATCTTTAAAGAACCCTAAAATAAATTTTGTTTAAAGAATTTCTATAAATTAATACTCTTGTACTAACAAAAACTAAAACTTCAAATAATCCTAAAGTGTTAAATGAAAATTAATATCAATTTTAATTGAGTAACTTACTGAATTCTACATAGCTACTTATCTTCAAAATCTCTCATATAGATTATCAATTGAACAAGCTACTCATGTTATACCAAATTATCAATTTAATTTAGTTAAAATTGTAAGATAATCTAAAGAAAAGCTACTAAAGAATTTAAAGAAACTAACTTAGTTAAAAGTGATAATAAATTAATTTCTGCAGCTAAGTATACTCTTTAAATTAAAAAAAAGGCTTAAATAGCTATAATTAATAATTATATTGTAAATAAAAAAATTACTAAAGCTTTATTAAATAAATTAGAATAGATCAATCCTTTAAAAATAATTATGGTGACAGTAAATAATAGATCAACCTTTTAAAAATGATTATGATAACAGTAAATAAAGTTAGAATTCACTCCTTAGAGATTATAAATGATATACTATGATCATTAAAAAATTGAGATCTTGATTTTTTTCTAAATCCTAAAATTAAAAGATAAAATTCTTATTTTAAAAAATGATTAGTTTCAAAATTCAAATGCCAACATGAATTGAAAAAGTTTTTTTATCTTAATTATTAGAAAAAAACTATAATCTGAATTCTAATTACTTTTACTAAAATCTCAAAAGTTATAACTCAGAATAAATTAAAGAAAATATTTGAAAAAGATTATAAGGATTAAATAGAAAAATATTTAAAAAAAATGTTTATTAATTTCTCTGATTCTTCAAAAGATAATTCAGCTGATAAAAATAAATTAGAATTTAATTTGTAAATAAACTTTTATTTTTCAAAAAGTTTAAAGGTTAAATCTGATAACAATAATAATTTTAGCTCAATAAATACTAGAAAAATGAATCTGACTATTTTTTCAATTGAAATTGTTCAAGATGAATATATACTCATAAATCTGACTAGATTTCTCAATTATCACTAATAAAGATTTTTCAGATTCTTTTAACTGATTATTTTAATATTTATACTAAAAATCAAATAAAAATTGAAAGAACTAATCTTATTAAATATAGGATCTTAATCAGAGATAATATACTTATCGCATAAATTTTTTATCAAATAAATTCTAAAAATTGAGAATTTCTTAAATAAGAAATTATTAAAATAAAAGAATAAAGAATTATTCAAAATCTTTAAATTCTTGAACTTTGCTAGTAGTAATTGTGAACAAAAAAGGTGGCGATAAAAAATTTGTATTAATTATCATAAATTAAAAGATAGTAAAAAACTAGTACCGTATGATTCACCAGACCAGTATGATACAATTATGCAGATCAGTATTTTTTTGCAGAATTTTAGTCGTACCATACTATACTAGTAATATATATAAAACATTATTATAAAACCAGTACAGTATAGTACAAATTATAGAAAATTCATTTTGATTCATACTGTATTATTATTAGAATCTTAAAAGTTATATTCTTGATATAAAGTTTAACAGTATATTTGTTAAAATAACTTTAATAAAATTAAATTAAAAAGAAAAGCATTACTACATAAAAATTAAAAATAATTTTATTACAAAATAATAATTTATTTTAATATGATGCATTTATCTTTTAATATAAAATGATTACAGTTAACCCTTTCTAAATGCACCCTCTCTAAATACACACACTATATATTTTTTCTCTAAATGCATACTCTTGTTTAGTTCTAAGTATATAGAATTCATATAAAAATTTTCTCTTTAAATGCTCACCTCTTTAAATGTACATTTTTTAAAATTTTCACTATAGTCCTGAGGAGATGCATTTAGAGAGGATTGACTGTATATTATTATTATTTTTTATTAAAATAAAAGGAATATAATTAATAATCAGTTAAAAATTTTAATTTTAAAACATTACAAACTTTATAATAAATTCACCGTATTATCAACATCTATTACAAAAGATCATACTATATTATATTATACTGATTCTATAATAAAAACTCTATATATACTACTGATACAATAAGTATGATTCAAATTTCATGAAAAATACTGATCTGTATAATTGTACTATACTGGTCTAGTGAATCGTACTGTGCTAATTTTCTATATACTCTAAATTGAATGCTATTATGAAAGTTAATGCTAATACCATATGAAGTTAATTTTACTGCATCACAAAGATTGATGAATGATTAATGTTATTAACATCATTAGCATTTTTAACTTAATTAATATTTTTATTTTATTCATTTTATTCATATATTATATTATTATTATTTATTTTATTATTATCATTGTTAAATTATAATTTATCTTTTATATTTATCTTATCATTATAAAATAGTTTAGCATTATATAGTAATTTCTTATAATTGTATTTTTATATAAATAGGATAAAAATTTGTCCTTGCAAAAGGGTAGAGATAACAGTGTAAACTCAATAGTTTGAGTTCAAGACTTAAAATCTAAGGTTAAAGATTGCTAAGGATACAAATCTCTATAATAAATGAATCTTTTTCTAAAACTATACATATTAAAAATCCTTCAATGTATCAATTGTATTTATCATGTTTACAAGTTGTAAAGTTATTTACTTGTCTAAAAGAATAAACTTAAAGTTAATTATGATAGGACTTATTTCACAGTAACTTAATAGTTTTTTATATGTTACTTCTTGTTATTAAGTCATAGTTACCCTAAATTCAATGGGCTAAGCGTAAGGTTAACAAATTGGTGATTCCTGTCAGGATTATAATTGTCTTAATTAAACTTATATGAATATACCTACTAGTTTTGACATTCTAAAAATAATCCAAGAACATCATAAAGAAGCACACAGAAATAATTCACTTTTAGAAAAAGATGCATCTTGTGTACAGTATAATTCTATTAATCAAACCAATAACAAAGAATTTTAAAAACTTTTGGAATTGGATCTCTAGTGAATATAATACTACAGCAATCAGTGATTGTTTTTTAATAGCATTTAAACTTTATTTAGATAACTATCGTGAAAATACTCATAATAGTAATAAAACAACAAAAGCAGCAGTCACATTATTATATTGTTTAAATTATTACTTATACTCTGCTGATTTATCTTCTATTTTACAACATTTATTATTAATCACCCACATTACTGAGTGTTTTGAAAAAACTTTTAATACTTCTATCTCACCTCTTACTCCTACATCTACAACTTCTGAATCAACTGAAATAATAATAAATACTGAACAGTTAAAGAACTTCATGAATTATATGATGAAAATTTTCAAAGATCTTGCTAAAAATATCAAAAATACACTGTCTGGTTAAAATGAAAATAGTGGAAATCTTACACCAAAAGAAAGTAATATTATTTGGTAAAACCTTTCTATGGAAATGATGACGAAAACCCTAATGACTGGTTTAAGAGCTTTGAAATTGCTGCTGAAGCAAATAATTAGTCTAAAGCTCGCATACTGAAAATTGTATCAGAATACCTGTATGAACTAGCTGCATATTAGTTTGAAGAAAATAACAATACTATTAAATGATAAAATAAAGATAAAAATACCGTCACAAGATTTATACCATTATTTTTGAAAAAATTCTCAACTGAAAAGAAGCAAAATCTATGGTACTATTAGTTAAATACACTTCGCCAAAAACTTATGAAAAAGTAGATTTTTATGCAGAAAAATTTAAAAGATTGTTAAAGAAAGTCGACTCTTCTAGTACCTTACCAGATAAATATACTGTAAGACTTTTCTTTAATGAATTAAGGAAGAATATTATCTTTCTCGTAGCATTTACTTATCCTAAAAATGTAGATGAAGCTATTAAAATAGCTAAACAAGTTGAGAGTGATCAATATTATAAACAACAATCTCCTGTATCAACTCAAACAAGTAGAAGTAATAATACTATCAATAATCTTATCAAATTAATGGAATATTTATCCTTAAACTATGCAACTCTTTCCAATGTATTGTCTGCGTAACTTGAAGGAAAATCTAAAAAAAGAAAGCCTAAAAGATGATAGAAATCTTACAAAAGATTAGGATATAAAAGCTTGAGATAAAAAGGATATTATTTGTTAACATTATCAAAAAAAAAGACATTATTCAAAAAAATGTATGTCTGAAAAGCCAGTATATCGAAGAAAATTTGATAAAAGAGAAGCTAGCTATGTTAGAATTTTTACTAATAGCGAAGAAGAGAAAGTTGAAGAAGTAGAGGAGGAAGAAGTTTATGCCTTCCTATGAAACAAATCTTATATCACCAATAGAAAAACTGCTAGACAGTTAAAAGCAGAAAGGAAAAAACAATTTGAATCCAGAAGAGAATTAAACTTAAGAAGCAGAAACCTATTAATGAATTTATAGAAATAGAAATCCACCAATTATTATCCCTACTCTAAAAAAGAAAGTCAAATAAGGACCATCTCAAATTGATCAAATGTCTTCCTATAATGTTATGTAAGATTTATTGCAAATGCCTTCTTCTGCAAAAATTGGTCAACTTTTACAATATTCAAATCAAAGACATAATCTTGCTCAAGGGTTGAAGAGACTAAAAATCCAAAAAACAAATTATGCTAATCAAGAAAGTGGAGAAGAAAAGAAAGACAAATCTACAGCTGTTTATTATTATATCAGAATTAAAGGAAATCCTATAGTTATTATCCTAGATTCTGAAGCTGCTGTCAGCATTATCATCAGAAAATTAATGAAAAAAGTTGGATTATCTATCGATGAACAGTCTAATACTATCGTAATTACTACTAATATAGAAAGAACTAGAGCATTAAGACAAGTCAGAAGGGCTCAAATTGTTATTCAAAACCTATTAATTTCTATCTCTTTGTAAGTTATCAACTTTCAAAATGAAACTTTACTTTTAAAAATGGATTGGTTTAGAAAAACTCATGCTAGCCTTGATTTTGGAACTAATCAGATTAGGTTAAGATATTTAGCAAAAACAATCACAGTTCCTGTGACTTCTAGTATAAATAAAGCTCCTATTAGTTATCCTACTATTCAAGATGACAAATTAGAACAAGTTTTAGATGATTATAAGAAAGAAGAACTTAACGAAATTGAAGCTTATATGGCAGATAGTCAAAAAGAATATGAGGAGAAAGCTGATCTTTTACCTCTCAACTACAATCCATAGAATGAAGAAAACTCTGTCTATTTAACTCTTACATTTAAGAAAGAATTTGAGCCTAACCCAGCAGTATTTTTTGCTGAAACTTCTAAAGAAAATATTTGGAAAATTAAAGATGATCTTTAAGTTGGGCCTCTTAATAATAAGTAACAAATGTCCTTTCAAAAATTAGTTAATAATTATGAGAATATATGTATTTTAAGCCAAATAAAAATTAGATAAACTAGTTTGGTAAAATATAATATTTTGACCAATAATCATGATCCAGTTACCACAGGAGCTTAAAAGTGTAAAGATCCAGTAAAACTTAATTTTCTCAAAGATGAAATCAAGCGTATGAAAAAAAATGGAACTATCAGAAAGTTATTAAGTCTCTGGGCTTCTTCTGTAGTTATAGTAGCAAAGAAAACTGGAGATAAACGAATCTGCATTGATTACAGAAAATTAAATTCTATCTCTAAAATGATGTACAGTAGCGGTCATAAGTATCCGACCGCCTCTAACTCCAGCTACAAGTAAGTAAATTCAAAATTTTTTTTTATTTAAAAAATACATAACCAACTAACTAAAATTAATACATTGTGT